ATTTCATAGAGCATTTTCCATCATTCTCCCATAACCAAATCCATTTATTTTCACTATTAGCCACTGGTTTATTCTCTTGCAGAAACTTTGTAAGCTGTGCAATGCTCTCTGATTCCCATTGGTCTCCACATGAGGTCCTACATCTAAGCATTGTCCCTCCATAATCCCATTCCAACAACTGTTATGTCTTTCTTTGTAGCTAGGTGATACAAACTTGGAAATTTGTCACAAAGAGTAAAACTTCTCACCCAATTATGCTTCCAAAACAAAGCCTTTTTCCCATTCCCAACCCTTAATCTAAAACTCTCTATCAACCATCCCTCAGACCTTTTTAGTAGCCTGTTTAAACTACATATACTTCACCACCACTGATCCCCATGTAGTCCCATCCCCAGCTCATTCTACCCAATTTCTATTCTACACTTTACATTTTTCTTCAAGCACTTTTTTCCATATTCCCCCCTCTTGATATAGAAACTTAATCCACCATTTTCCTAACAATGAGACATTAAAAACTCTTAGATTCTTAACACCTAGACCTTCTACCAATTTTTCCTTGCAAATATTCTCCTAGTTTATCCAACAAATCTTTTTTCTCTACTCGCAACCTCTCCACAAGAAATCCCTCCTAATAGAATCTATTATTTTAATAGCACTTTTTGGAATAAGATACATGGACATGAGAAAGATTGGAAGAATAGAATTCACAAAATTTAACAGGGCAATTCTGTCACTAAAAGACAACAGCCATGGCTTCTAGGTCTTCAACTTCTTCAATTTTTCAATCAAAGATTTCCAAGTATTCACCCTCATCATATTTGCTTTGATTGGGATTCCCAAATAGGTAAAAGGAATGCTTCCCACTTCACAGTGTAAAACTTTAGCCATTGTTGAAAACCATTGCACCTTTGTGTTAACTCCCATTAACGTACTTTTGCAATATTTTATCTTCAATCCAAAGACTATTTTGAAGATTCTCATTATGCATTTCAATGCCCAAACATTTTGTTGTAATGGATTTGCAAAGATGGTTATGTCATCTACAAATTGCAAATGAGATAAACGATATTTCCTCTTACCAATTTGGATTCCACTGAATAGCTTCAAGCTTGCGACAGAATGAATAATACCATTGAGTCCCTCCGCCGCAATTATGAATAAAAATGGGGAAAGTGGATCCCCTTACCTCAACCTTCTACTCATTGAGAATTCCTTTGTAGGCCTTCCATTCACAAACATAGAAACCAAATTGATTCTAATACATTCCAAAATCCAATTTCTCCAAGTTTTGTAGAACCCCATTTTTTCTAAGATGTAAAGCAAGAAGTCCTAACTCACCTTATCATACACCTTCTTAAAATCTGCTTTGAAAATTATGCATCCTTTCCTATTCTTCTTTACCTCATCAATAATCTTATTTGCCACCATAAATTTGTCCATTAGTTGTTTCCTCTTATGAAAGCGGATTGTTCTATTCCAACTATCCCATCCATTACCCGTCTTAGTTTGTTTGCTAGCATCTTAGCTATCACATTGTACATGTAGCTAATTAAAGAAAAAGGTTTATCGTCTTCAATTTTGACAGTGTTTTCTTTCTTTGGAATTAACACTACAAAGGATGCATTTGACCCTTTCACTAATTTGCCATTCTGTTGAAACTCCTCCATAAACTAAATCATATCATCCTTAGTGGTCTCCATATTGGTTTCAAAACTCCAAAATTAAATCCATCAAGTTTAGGAGCTTTTGTGCTACGATAGTCCCAAATAGCTTACTTTATGTCATCTTCATTAAACTTTCTAGTTAGCATGTCATTGTCTTTAGTTGAAACTTTCTGAAAATTAATATTCTTTAATATAGGTCAAAACCATTTCTCTTCAGTGAACATATTCTTAAAAAAAGCTACTATCCCTTCCTTTATTTCCTACACCTCTATTATGTTTTTCCTTTTAATCTAAATGCTGTTAATCTCATTTTTTCTCCATCTTCCTTTTACACATTGGTGAAAAAAATTTGTGTTTTCATCCCCGTCCCTAAGCCAATTCTATCTTGAGTTTTGTCTGAGCATGCTTTCCTTACTCCACAAGAGCTTCCATCGTTCCACTAATTTGTAATTCCCAATATCTATCTTTTTAGTCAAAAGTAGCCGTGCCTCCCCTTTCAAATCTAGATTAGTAACCTCCTTTTGAACGGCTTCAATTTTGCCGCTTAACCTTATATATGGCTCTATACTCCACTTTTTCAAAAAGGCTTTCATACCTTTTAGCTTCTACTTTAACTTGTATTCGCCCCATCCTTCTACCTAGATAGAGGACCAATGCTTTGAGAACATTTCTTTGAAATTAGGGGCAAATAGCCACACATCAAAGAATTGAAATGGTTTAGGGCCCTAGTCTACAACCTTGTTCTTAGCCAAAATTGGACAATGATATGAAATTCCTCTATTCAAGCCCCGTTGTTTCATTCCATCTCATCTATTCATCCATTCATTAGAAAATAGATATTTGTTTAAATGGCTTATTTCAACTCCATTCAACTTATACCAAGTATATGTCTTCCCAATAAGAGGCAGATCAAGCAAATTATTGGTTTCAATAAGACCTACAAAATCCTTCATTTCTGTTTGAGCACTTCTACATCCTTTCCTTTTAGAACTTGACTTCGTAGCATTAAAGTCACCTTCTAGACATCAATTTTTTCCCTAATTTTTTATTAAATATCCCAATTCTTCCCATAACTCTCTTTCTAGAAAGTTCATAAGTTGAGTAGACATTAACAACATAGCAAAGGATGTTTTCTAATCCCCAATATCCAAGTACACCAATGAAACCTATTCCTTCAAATATCTTTTCCTTCCTAAAAGAATTAGAGCACCATATAGTTAATAATCTGCCTACCATACCATCACCTAGTTTAAACACCCACTCAAAATTGTCCAAGCCCCATAATTCTCCACACAATATTTGGTTTATAGAACTCAATTTTTGTTTCCTGTACTAACAATATGTCCACCTTTTCTTTAAGCACTATCCTTTTAATTTACCCCTTTTTCTCCTTAGCTCATATT